GGGATGAGGTGCCTGCGAAAAGAGGCACGATTTACATGATCTCAGGAGGGCCAACGAATGGGGATTCAAATAATGCACGAAAGGGGGATGTGCGGGTGGTGAAGCGTAAAAGAGAAGAGGTCGGGATAACTGGTCGAATGCCTGTGATTAGCTTTTGAGCAGAAGACGCGGAGGGAATCTTGTTACCCCACAATGACGCACTGGTCATCACGGCCGAAGTGGCAGGTTTTGATGTGAAAAGAGTGTTCATCGACACGGGGAGCTCAGTCGACGTGATGTTCTACGATTATTTTGCGCAGATCAACAAACACCTGAATCTGGAACTGAAACTGGTGGCAACAACTTTATATGGGTTTAACAGTGGAGAGGTAATGCCAATGGGCGAAGTGAGCTTGACCATAGCATTGGGGTCGGGCGACGCGAGGAAAGTAAGGATGGTCCGGTTTGTAGTGGTCGGAGCAGAATCGTCTTACAATATCATTTTAGGGCGGACAGGTTTAAACGCGTTCCAAGCGGTCGTGTCCACATACCACATGACGATCAAATATCCTGTGGGGGAAAATGTGGGCGAGATTGCTGGGGACCAGCTCACGTCAAGGAGTTGCTATCAAACCACTGTCAGTAACAACAAACAGATGGCAGGAAGGTAGTTGAAAGGCAAGGAAGTGAGGCCTGATCGACTAGGAGGGTCACGAGCGAAAGAGGAAAGAGGAGGACAAGACAAGGGAAAAGAGAAGATAGACATACAACCCGGATAAGAGATCGAGGAAATTAAGATGGTGCAGGGGTGCGATGACCGCAAATTCAGGATTGGAAAAGATTTGGGGGAGCCAGTCAGGTCGAAGCTGATCAATTTAATAAAGGAGTTTACAGACGTTTTCGCGTATACAACGGATGAACTAACGGGGATCGAAGCCAGGGTGATCGAGCACAGACTTAATATTGATCTAAGTGTGAGGCCGGTAAAGCAGAAGAGGAGACATCACGGTGTGGAAATGGACAAAATCATCGAGCAGGAGGTCGACAAGCTGATGAGCGTCGGGCACATTAAGAAGATTCAGTTCCCTGAGTGGTTATCTAACACGGTAATGGTGTCCAAATCGGTAGAAAAGTGGAGGATGTGCATCGATTTCCGTGATCTAAACAAGGTTTGCCCGAAAGATCTGTACCCACTGCCAAGGATCGACCAGCTGGTAGACTCCACGGCGGGGTGCGAGCTGCTTAGCTTGATGGACACCTCGCAGGGGTATCATCAGATCCCCTTGGCGAAAGAGGACTGGAAGAGGGTGAGCTTCATAACAAGCAAAGGCACCTATTGTTATGTAGTCATGCCGTTTGGATTAAAGAATGCCGGGGCCACTTACCAGCGGTTGGTCGACCAAATTTTCAAAGATCAGTTGGGGAGGAATATGGAAGTGTATGTCGATGACATGCTGGTAAAAACCAAGATGGAGGTGGACCACGTGGGCGACTTGAGGGAGACTTTCAAAACACTGAGGAGGTTCGGCATGAAGCTCAATCCGGCTAAGTGCTCGTTTGGTGTAAAGGCAGGGAAGTTCTTGGGATACATGGTGACAAAGCGGGTAATAGAGGTGAATCCCGAGAAAGTAAGAGCTGTGATCGAAATGAAGCCACCGGCAAA